GAAAAGGAAAAATTTGATTTTATTACACAACAGTAATGAATTTATTTCGATTACAAAAATGAAGTGTTTTTTAGTTGAACTTCTCTAAGTAAATGAAAGTAAATCCGCAAATTATCCGTTTCATTGAAGTGCTCTTTGGTAAACCACATTTTTTGTTTTTTAGTCTGACGTTAACACAAACAAAGCGGATGGTTTCCCAACTCGTGAACAGGCAACGTATAACTGCCCATGTGAAAAACAATGATTTTCTAAATAATCTATTTGAAATTTATACCGTAAACACTAAGCGATTGGCCTTGCAACTTGTTATTGCGAACGCAAGGCGAACTGGAAATTGCAATCGTTTGAAGTCAAACGGAAGACCAGTCGGAATCATTGGTATGTCACCAAATCGCCAGCAATTTTTGATTGAATGGTGAAATTCAGTGCGCGTACATCATTATTCTTTGCGACAAGAATTGCTCGTTGACTTAACCAAGCATAATTCTGATAATTCTCACTAATGTCATTACTCGAATTTTTAATTACGGTGCGTGAAGTTCCAGCAATTTGCATTAAGTCACGATGCCATGCACCACTAATTTTCCTTAGTGGATAGTTTAATTAGCTATAAACCTTGCGGAGCCCGAGACCTTCCCAACGAATGCAAAATTGTCGAAATCGGTTCGTGCGTTCAGGAAGGAAAACCCGACTTATTTTTATATATACGTCGATTTACGGTAAAAAATCTGTTAACATACACATACACACAGACATACTTTTTTCAAAATTGGTCTCATTCGGCTTGAAACGTCGAGAAAACATAAAATTAGCCAATCGATTTTTTTTTATGAAATTATAAATTTCTCCTTCGGGAACTTAACCCCTTAACTTAAAATGACGACCAGAGCCCGCGTGCGATTGCTAGGCCAAAAGTGAATATTACGGGCATAGCCCGCGTACGCGGCATGGCTCAGTAGGGTGAACGCAAGCATTGCAAAATATTTATTCATACGAAACTATAAAACACAAAATTATTTTTATTTTTGTGATAAACCGTACACTACAAGGGAAAATAGTCACAAACGCCGCGCCAGCTTGAACAACTTTGGGCCGACATTTTCAAATCTAAATCGTAAGTTAAGGGGTTAAAAAATCACGAGAAAAATACGTGAATAAAAAATAATAATGCAAAACGAATAATTTTTCATTAAAGGTACTAAATACTCACTCAGTGAGATGCAATGCATGTAACAAAAGTTTTGAAAGTTTGATAAACTGGTTTGTAGATTTTTTAATAAATGCTGAATGTAATAGAAATCGCAAAAGTAATCTTTCAGTTAGATTAAATATTTAGCTTGATAAAATAAATCCAATTCATTGCGTCATGATCTTGAGTGATCTTGCAGCAAAATAAAAATGCTTTTTTAGACAAATAACTACTGTACGGCTTGAATCGAACTAACGCGGAAGACATTTATAGCGGACTAATATTATGTATGCAAAACGGTGCAAAAAAGAAACTCGTATATTTTTTCCTGGAAATGAATGTAAACATTTAAAACCTCATTCATAGTAGCCAACGAGCAAAATAATGACGTCAATAAAATCAACAACATTATTAGAGATTTAATTCAAAAACAGTTAATTTTTACCGAAGCACAAGATGATCAATTATATACAAAATTCAATTTAGTTGAATAATTTGCAACTAAAAAACGAAATTTATGATATTGCGTAATAATAATCAACATGGATTGTAAGTTTCATTGTATGACCATGAAAAAATAACAAACAACGTAATCAAAGCCACCATCAACAATTATAAATTCCGTTCCTATATGTATGATACCGATTAATTTACCATTTAATTTAATCCAACTAATTACAAATGATAAATCGAAGGGCCAGTTTGTTAAAATATTTAGACATAAACCTAGAATGTTCATGGATCATTGTTCATTCGCCAGTTTGAAAGTTATCATTTCTTTACATACGAGCCGGAGAAAAAAATGGTGTACTCATTATATTGTATTGTACTTGAAGTATTTAACTCATTCAATAACTGGGTCGGCTAGTGAATTCAAATAATTTTCAAATATATAAAAAATGTATAAATAAAATATAAAATATACAACAAATGGTTTTTTATAATAAAGAAAGAGGATATCCGATATCCCCGAAACGTAGAAAATATTTGTAAATAAAAAAATAATTTTATGAGAATAAAGGCTTTTAGATCTCACGCATACACACATTTAAATGGACATCTATAAATAAATTATATATGATTTAATATTAATAAAAAAAGGTGATACAAAAAGTAGCGAAAGAAATAATGCACAAAAGTTATTTATAAATTGTATATAATTAATAAAATTTGAATTATTCATTATATTGTATAGTTATTTAAAAAAATCTTTTATTTAATGTTGCACTAGATACTAAATCACATATTAGGATGTAAAAATATTGAAGAAAGAGAAAACTAGAAAAATTAAAATAATCGTAAATACATGTTTATGTTTATGTTTGTTTACATAAAGCAGTTTTTTATATATTTTAGCTGATTCATGTAATAATTATGCATGTATGCACACGGTGATAAAAAATATTATAAAAAGATAAATATTATATCTACAAGTATATATATTTGAACATAAATAAATAAACAAACATATACCAAAAAAGCGTCAATGTAAATTATATAAATGTATAAACTAGTGGTGCAAAGCATCATGGAACTTTGCTGGAACTTCCCGTACCGTAATTTAAAATTTTTAAAAGCTCAGAAAAGAGAGAATTTTCGTGAAAGTTTTCGAAATATTTGAAAACATTTGAAAATATTTGAATATTGAAAAAATTGGAAAAAAAATGCTTGTTTAAAAAATCATGTTTTGATTTTTTTTTTACTTGAATAGTTTTGAAAAAATTGATATCTTTTTAAAGCTTAGAAATATTATGGAAACTTAGAAATCTTTTCAAGACATATTTTCCTTTTTTTGAAAAATTCCTAAAGGTTTGAGATAACCATTCATATCGGTTGACCAATTCTGTCAAAAATATCTTATTTCCGACCGCCAAATAGTATTTTTTAAACCTTTTTTCTAGATCTCCGAAACCGCTGGACCCGACTTTGCAAAAATTTAACGCCAATACAAGTCAAATGTTTTTTCAATCATTCAAATCGAATGTTTCGTTCTCTCAAAAACTTAATTACGATTTCCTGCACTGCACCATATCTCTGAAACGGCTGGACCAACTTTTGCAAAAACTAATCAGGACGTTTCTTTATCAATACGAATCGAATGCTTTCTGAATATTTCATGTCAAAAATTTATTTCGAATATTTCGATTTCTGGACGATTACTATAATTTACTCTACGAAAAGTTAAAAATGTTTTTTTTTGCATCGTTCTGAATTGATTCCAATAAATTTTATTGGAATCAATTCATAAGTTAGCTAGCGGAGTATGGCATCGTACCTTAAGACAAATTGCTGGAACTTCCCGTACCAAAAATTATTTTTTTTAAAAAAGATTATATTTGTTTTAAACTTCGAAAATATTAGATTTTTGAGAAATTTTTAATTTTTGAAAAAAAAAATACTTTTAAAAAAAACACTTTGGAAAAAATGTTTTTTTTATTTTGAAATATTTTGGAACTTTTTTTCAAAGACGCGGGTAAACGATGTTAACAAATCCATGGAAATGTAAACAAAATTGATACACATTATTAAAATCTCCATAAAATATCTGATAATTTGATGTGTGTATGTCTAATGATCATTTTTGACCTCAAAATGGCTTTTACTAGATCTCCGAAACCGCTAGGCCTGCCTTTCCAAAAATATAATCAGTTCTTCATCTGACGACGCTTCATTCTCTTAAAAACTAAGTTACTGTTTTTAGCACTTTTTGCCCCGTATCTTCGGAACGATTATACCTGCCTTCGCCAAAAACTAATCAGCACGTCTCCTTATTAATAGGAATCGAATGTTTTTTGAATAATTGAAATCGGTTGAACCGTGTTCCTGAAATCGTCGACGAAAATTTGTATTCGCACACACACACACGCACGCACACACACATACATCCAATTCTTTCTAAGGTATGCCAAAATATTTAGAAACCTTTGAAACGTAAAAATATATAAAAATTTTTATTATAGATTTTTTTGCAATTAACTATAACTTGCCCCACGGGAAGTTAATAATGATAATAGTTATTTTTTTATATCAATATTAGAAACAATAAAAAAAATAATAATAGACTCATAGAAAATATGTGACACAGCAAATATTTTATACTTGTTTTGTATTAGAGTTCAGTTGACGTGATTAAAGTCCAATTGCGGAATTATTAACTGCTTCGTATCAAATAAATTGTTAAGCGATTAAATTATTAAAGTCCAATTTAATTCGAGTATTAGCAAAAGAAATCTGGGATAACATTAAAAAAAATCGTTCAGCGCGTACGATTATATATATATATATATATATATATATATATATATATATATATATATAATAGGTTGTCAAATATCTCCCTTCCGCCTTTTTGTATTATAAACCAAGAGCAAAAAAGCGGAAGGGAGATATTTGACAACCTAATATATATATATATATATATATATATATATATATATATATATATATATATATATATATATATATATAAACTATCAAGATATATATAACTTTGTATAAAACTTTATAATTTTAAATACATATTTAATTTCTGATTAAATTTATTAATTCATTTGTGATGAGTTTTGATATAGTTATTTAAATACAAGATCAGTGCACAGATTAAAGAATCATCAAAAATGTTATAATTTTGTTTTCCGCGTCGACACGAAAAAGTTAATTTATATTGAAAAAAACTGACATATAAATAACATTAGTAAATAACAAAAACTGTTGTAGAATTTATTTCGTGAGAAACTACTGAAAATAAATAGTATTATATACAAACAATTAAAAAAAAATTGCAAAGTTTATAATATCAATGTCAACTCACATTTGAAATTGTTTTTATATTAAACAGGTTTGACGTCGGGCCGCTTCTTCTTTCACAGACACTAACAACGCTAACAACTGACTGACTGAATGACTGAGAGACTGATTATGAGACACGTTTGATTTCTTTCAATGAACAGTCAACATCAGCAGTATCAGCACTAGTGATGTGTCGACTCGAAAAATTCCCGATTCGAATGATTCGAATCAGAAAAAAACCTGATTCGAATCAACTCGAATCAAGTATATATATGGACAAAAAAAAATCATGGATGTATTTATTTAGTAAAAGTGATCCAAATTTATAATCAAAATTGTCAGTTTAACCAATATAACCGACAAAGTAGAAATTGTAAATATAAATTACTATCAAAAAGTATATTCTGAAAATTATTAAAAATGATATAATTTTGAGGACGGCTGAAACATATCTTCAAATTAATTTACAATAATAGATTACCAAACAATTGTGCATCACTAAAGCATAAAAAATAATATTTGGAATCATGGGTCGATTGTTTATTTTACTATGTAATCAGTAAAGGATCGCATCTAAACTGAGAGCTGAAAGTTAATTTCATTAATGTGAATTTGCCATTACTTACATAATCAGAAGTTAACATATTATTTACTGACTTTCTGGTGTTTAGTAATTGTTTCAAAAGAGAATTATATTGAAAGATTCCCGAAACTCGTTTCATAATTTCGAGTGATTTATTTTGATAAGATTTAAAATCTAAAACTTAATCTAATATAATAGATAAAATTAATTATTATCAAAATTGGGTATTGATATTTCACGGACAAAATCGCTCTTAGTGCTCCGTAAAATAAATAAACACGCAAGAACAACGATGCATTGTATCTGTTTCGAAGTCGCTTAATATCGCCCATACGGTTAACTCATATCGCTCGAACGGCTTGAAGTCGGAATGATTCGAATCGGAATTGAAGTCGGAATAACTCATATCGCCGCTTGATTCGGTTTGACTCATATATGAAGTCGGATGAACTCATATCGTCGCTTGATTTGGTTTGAGTCATATGAAGTCGGAATAACTCATATCGTCGCTTGATTTGGTTTGAGTCATATGAAGTCGGATGATATAGTTTCCCCTTTCGAATGAAAAAAATATTGCGGCCCCCTCCCCTTCTTATTTTTCTAACAATTTAATTTAAATATATTTAATATATTTTTTTCTAATTTTTCTGAGATTTCTAATCCATTCGTATTTGGACGTAATTAGATAAAGTATTTCGTATTATAGTATTTCGTATAATTAGATCGTATTTCTAAGATTTCTAATCCATTCGTATTTGGACGTAATTAGATAAAGTAATGCGAAAATTGGTTTCGTAGACTAGTCATATGACTGATATAATAATAAAATCTTCACATACTTCTATTTCATGAGTAACACAAGTAATTTTAAAAGTGGGAAACATGTTAAAGTTATAAAGTTATTTGTTACTAGCTTACACAGTTCTAATTTTTTCATTAAAGCCGTAATCTTGTCTTTCTGAACAAAAGCACGAATTTGAGATCCTTGCATTGATTCAATTAAATCGCTAAGTCTTTGAAAAATATCAACTAAATACGCAAATTTTGCGAGGAACTTTGTGTCCTAAAACAAGATTGCTCCGTCTCTTTTGTTATCAGCAAGAAATATAGCAATTTCTTTTTTGAGTTCAAACACTCTTAGAAGTACTTTAAGTATTTTGCTGATTTGTTTTTGACACTTACTCAGCATTTAAAAATAATATTTTTGAAACAGCTTCGCGCCCCCCCTGGAACGGTACGGCGCTCCACCAGGGGGGCGCGCCCCACAGGTTGGAAATCACTGATATAGTTAGTCGATAAATGCGGTTTAAGTCATATAAAGACGATTGGAGTCGGCTGATAAATTTAAGCATATTAAAGTCGGGTGGCTCGCATGATTTAATTCATTATTCATTTTTTATATTTATGATATTTATTTTTTATATTATTATAATATTGAATTAAATTAAAACATTTGTTTATATTCATATTTATGAAAAATTTTATATTTATGAAAAATTTGTGTTAATACATATTTTATCACAGTAAATATTTCGCGGCTTGATACGAGTTGATTCGAATCAAGTAAAATCTGATTCGAATCAAGTCGTTAAAGGCTTGATTCGAATGATTCGAATCACTTGATTCGACTTGGCACACATCACTAATCAGCACCAACACACATGTATCATCGGGAGAGCGCGCGAACGGTTTGCGCATGTTTTCTATTCCGTCAGTTATTATGCGCTTGTTATCTGCCCAATGGCCGCCGGCACAAGCGGCCGTTTCGTTTGCATCGCGTCGCGTACACGATACGATTACGAACAATGAAAGAACGAGTTAGGTTACATTCGATTTGTTATGTTTACGATTCCTCTGTTCCTCCTAACTAATGATCTCACACGCAATTGATATAACTATCAAGGTTTAAGTGCAATTCTGATGACTCAAAAAGCATTCTGGTCTACAATTAAAAAAAAACGAATTTGTTTTTCTTTTTGGATATTTTCAAATTTTAACTTTTAACTAGTAGGGTGCATGGCATCGTGCCTTAAGGCAAAGTGCTGGAACTTACCGTACCGTAATTAAAAATCTTGGTACGGAACCTAAAAAAAATTACAATGTGTACACATTATTAAAATATTCATAATTTGATGTACATATGTCTGATGAACATTTTGATCACAAAATGACATTTTTCAACTTATTTTTATTGAGAGTTCATAACCCCTGGATCTGCCTTCCCAAAAATTTAATCAGTTCTTCATCTTCTCAATACAAGTGCACTTTTTGCCCCGTATCTTCGGAACGCCTTCGCCAAAGACTAATAAGCACATCTCATTATCAATACGAATCGAATGTTTTTTTTGAATTATTCAAATTGGTTGATCGGTGTTCCCGATCCCGATATCGTCGACGAAAATTTGTATCACACACACGCATACATCAATTTTTTCTAAAGTATGCCAAAATGTTCAAAAACCTTTGAAACGTAAAGATATATAAAAATTTTCATTTTCGATTTTTTTGCGATTACTATAACTTACCCTACGGGAAGTTAAAAATATGTGTACAAAAGGATTTTTCATAATTCAAATTCTTTTCGTAGTTATAGCTACGATTGGCCACGATAATCGTACTCGGATTCCTCTTCCGCTAAACTTTAAATTTTTTTCTCAAACAGTCTTTTTTGATACGATACCCACGATTTAACAACTTCTACTGGACCTTTACTTGAAATTTTTATAGAGTTCATTTCATTCAGTATAAACTACGTTCAACCCCAAATGTCGATTTTTTACTATATTTAAAAAAATCGAAAATATTGAAAATTTGTGTAAAAAAATTATTGTCTTATTCCTTGTTTATACGGTTGCGTTATTTCTGTGTAGGTTAATAATACATACGAGGTGTGTTCAAAAAGTACTAGGAATGTTTGAATTTCTCGGGTCTAGAGAGTACAAATGTCGTTTTTTATTTTGCGTTGGTGTACATTCCCCTAAAATATGATTAAAGTATGATTTTCAACTATATTCACCGTTTATTGTGTCTGTGGTAGTCGCTAAGATTCGACGTATTTATTATGGCCTTTTGATACTCGGTTTTGTTTAAACAATGGAAAGAAACGTGGTCCTTTCAATCAAAGCCATATCAAAATATTATTAATCCGACTCTCCAGAACCGAAAAATTAAAAAAATTCTAGTATTTTTTGAGCACATCTCGTAGAAATATTGTTCTTCAGATTATTTGGAGGACTATGATGATTATAGTCAGGTGCCAATTTTTTGAGACCCGCCTTTTCATCACTTTCTATAAGTAAAACTTTACGACTATTTTTAATTTTTATTTTTTTATATACTTTGAAAACATTGATCAAAAACTTGTAACAGAAAATATAGCCTTGATATCGATGCTTGCAGACCAGAATACCCCCTTAAGGTAAGTAGCATGAACTTCCCGATATGTGTAAATAATAGACTTAATCAAAAAATATTTATATTCATATTTATATTCATATTCATATTCATATTCATATTCATATTCATATTCATATTTATATTTATATTTATATTTATATTTATATTTATATTTATATTTATATTTATATTTATATTTATATTTATATTTATATTTATATTTATATTTATATTTATATTTATATTTATATTTATATTTATATTTATATTTATATTTATATTTATATTTTCAAATGGTCACGATCAAATTTTCAAATTTTAACGCGATCCTGTATTCCAAATATTGGCAAATTTTAATAATTAAACTACTTTTCGTATATTTTAGGATGTTCGTTAAGATCATGAATTCTAAAAAAACTCAACAATTAGTTACGAAGAAACGATCCGGTCGATCTTTACATCGATTAATACGATCCGCAAGTAATATTTTCCGTAATCAATAATAATAAACATTATTTAAGTCTTGTCATGCTCATTTATACTAATCAACCGTTCTCCTGAAAATGTGGCAAAATCTGGCAAACTCTTAAAACTATATAGTGTAGCGTAATATTCATCACATTTACTGAAGTTTACTGGAATAATATTTAAGTGTGTAGAATTGTTATATTTCACATGCACAAATAACGTTTGTGTCACCGACTCAATATGCACATTTGATAAATATGAACTAACCCGTTCCGATTGTTTGTCATCATGACTTGCATGTTCATTATTTGACAATGTATAATGAGTTTGCGCTATTTTTTCTATCGAATATAAAATTTCGTATTGGCGAGAATTGATTATTTTCCAAATATATAATAACTATGTATCATATACGTATCGTAATTTTCAATGAATATGAACTGACACTTTATCATTGTACTAAATATTTCACTTTGATCAAATCTAAAATTGCATTGCGGTTGCTTTAAATTGCAACTGGTTACCTCATAGAATCAAACTATTTAAATGGAAAATAAATGAAAAAAAAATGGAATTAGAATTAGATAAATTTCCTTTCAAATGACCTACTATCCATTACCATTCGACCTTTTTTCCATACTCTTCTTTTATCTATGCTTTTTTCCTTATTTAATAAACCATTAAAATTACTAAATGTTGTTTATAACAACATATTGTAATTCATAAATGTAAAGAAAAAAAATTATTAAGAATGTTTATATAAAATATAAATTCAATTTTCAACGTGGTCTGATTTATGCTGAAAACCTCGACAAAGAATTTTTCCAAAAAAAGTTTAAACATATGGTGCACGGCATCGTGTTTTAGACAAATTGGAACCGAAAATTAAATTTTTTTGAAAACTTTGAAAAAAAAAATGATATTTTCGAAAAAAAAAACTTTTTTGAATAATTTGAATCTTTTTATATTTCGAAATTTACCGTACCGAAAATTAAAATTTTTTGAAAACATTGAAAAAAAAAGATATTTTTGAAAAATTTGAATCTTATTTCAAATATATTTCGAAATTTTTTGAAAATATTGAACATTTTATTTAAGGGGCACAACTAGTGTGAAATTTCGAAAAAATCGATTTTTGTTTTTTATTATATTTCGGTAGATTACACCTTTAAAAATAATATGTAAAAATTTCAAATCGATATCTCAAATAGTTTTTGAGTTACAGTCATTTAAAAAGTATATATATAGTACATAAGTACAACGATCATTTTATCTTTAAACGCGTTTTTCTCGAGACAGCATTTTCCGAATTTCCGAATTTGCTGCAGTGATTACTCAAAAACGAATGGTCCGATCACTATCAAATTTTTTTACATGTTCTTTATATAATTCTCCGTAAAATGAGCTATCGATTTTTTGATCGGATCAAAAATCGAATTTTGGCAGTCGAAAAACGACCAAAATTTTAGGTAAAATTCGACTTTTTTTTAAAAAAACGCCGCCATTTTGTCAATTTTTGATTTATTTTTTTCATCGTAGTTCATTTTACAGACAATATTATCTAGTTTAACAAGAATTTTTTTTTTTGATTTCATCCACGTAGAAGGCCGGAATCACTGCAGCAGTTAAGGGCCTTTTTTGTCGCAACGTTGGAGATCGACGATGGAGTTGTGCCCCTTAAAGCAATCGTGCTGCGTGGCCATTAGAATAAATAACATAGAAGAAATATTGAAGCGCGTAAGCGCCGTGCCATAGTCTAACGGATAAACTTTGGTACGGAACCCATAAAAAGGTAAACAAAATTTGTATTTTTTATTAAAATATCTATAAAATATTTGTTAATTTGATGTGCATGCATATGTCTAATCATTATTAGTTTTGACCGCCAAATGGCTTTTTTCTTACCTATTTCACTGGATCCCCAAAACTGCTAGACCTCCATAGACCAAAAACTAATCAACACGAGTCTCCCTATCAATCAACCGGAATCAACGGTCTTTTGAATTATTCTATTGGGTTGATCCGTATACCCGAAATAGTGGGAGAGAAATTGTATCCATACTACACACACACACATCCATTTTTTTTTTGGTTGTAAGGTATGCTAAAATGTTCAGAAGATCTTAAAACATAATGATAAGCAAATTTTATTTTTTTTTATTTTTACACGATTACTATAACTTACCCTAGGGGAAGTTAATAAATAAGTTATTGTCTGTATAATTTTCAACAATTTTGTGATATCAATTTCTTTTTAAATTTTCAATAATAAATTATGCAACTAGTTTTGCATGGCTTTTCAAAATAAATGATTGGAACTTTGTTTGTAATTGTATTTGCTTGCTTTATGCATACGAATATTGTATGGATAAAATCAATATTAAGATTAAATTATGACAACGAATAAACTAAATTGTGAAATTTATTGTTTTTTCTAAATCATTTAGCTTAAAAAATTGTAATGTTAATAGTTATTTTTACAAATAAGAAAATAAACAGAGTGAGATTGTGAGAATCAATAGCTTAACGCAAAGAGTGTGTATAATATGCATGTATGTATGTGCAGGATATTGATGAGAAAACGTGCTGATTAGTATTTGGCAGAGGCAGGTCCAGACGTACGTCTGGCGTATCAAAGAAACGCAGCAAAAAGTGAAAAAAATGGCAATTTAGTTTTTGTTAGAACGGAACGTCTGATTTGAATGATTCAAAAAATACTTTATTAGTATTGATGGAGAGACTACGCAGCGCAATCGATTTGAAAAAAATTCAAAACTTTCCAAAAAATACAAAATATCACGGTACGGCAAATAGCAGCACAGTTTTTTACCGCTAGTTCTACTTTAATTTTAATTTCTTTCAAATGCTTTTACTGTCGGGGGCTCCAACTGAATATACCTAGCGTAAAAGTTGGAAACGCTACTGAGTGAGCTATTCCCGCCACCTTTGAAATTTGGTTTTTGAAAAAAAAAATAAATAAATAAGTATAGATAATTTATACTTGGAAAAGTTTGACATGTAATAAAATGAATTATGAATTAAATGAATTATTCTCTTCGAGTTCACAAGTAATTTATAAAAAATTATTTAAAGAATTGCAGGAATAAAGAAAGTCACTAATAGGGGAGAACTGCTACTCGAATCCATAGTTCTAATATACAAAGGTATCCGACTGATTATTAAGGAACACAAATATGGTAATAAAAACTCAGAATGTAGTCGTAGAAACCCGATATTTATAAGCACAACTGTGAAGTAGTCAAACATTCCTATAAAAATCCAATTTGAATATAGTACATAATTTATGGTAAGTGGGAAAAGATAATTTGCTTTGCAAGATTCTGAAAATCTGAAATTATGTAGTCAATGTAAGCTAATTTACTTTCAATTTCACATAGAAACCTTCCAACAATGATATATCTATGTTAATATTTATTATTATCATAGCAGATATTATATATGTGAATATTGATCATAATTTAATTATTATTAATTTATAGCTCTTAAAGATCAAATATCAACAATAATATCAATTTAAAAAAAAAGTGAATTCAATAAAAATATTTCACAGATGTAAGAATAGATCCCAAAAATTGCAAAGAAACAAAAGCCTCATCCAATTTGCAATTGTAAAGTTTTAAATTTTATTCTATTTCATAAAACGACCAATTGATTACATATTTTCTATGGACCTAAAGATAAGTGCTAATGAATATTAGGTACATATCAGCGACTTCAATTATACTCCTAATATTAATTGAATTATTATTTTTATTAATATGTTTTCGATTATATTTGTAATATAATACAAATTTTCATTAAACAATTTTATTAAAAAGTAATATATTAATAATCTTAAAATTTATATTAAAGCAATCCAATGAGGTTTTATATAATATATCACATGATAATTCTTACTAATATAAAACATTTCTTCATAAAAATACGTTTAAAAAATCTTTATAGCACTCACATCTTTATGAATATAAAGATTTCACGATCATGAACATACATAAAGAAATAACTTTCAATATCTTATGCTTAATTGCATAGTTTCATACATGCATTGTACAATGTGGCATTTGTATTAAATGCATATACTGTAATAATGCTGTAAAGCCCTAAATTAAATTTTAAATAATGAAGAAACAAAATAAAATCAATCGTAGTGTGATATCGCCACTTTGTGCCATATTATAACTCCGCAATGTCTGCTGGCTCGGAACCTAGCCAAGTCCTTTCGAGTGACCACACCAACAACCTATAAAATTCAGTCACTATGAACTATAATTGATAATATCTAATTAACCCATATTAGCCTTTTATATTCTCGTATGATTGCAGCATGATTTCCATAGTCGTTATATATTTCATCTTTAATTATGTTTTTTAATACTTTTATTATATGTTTATTTTCAATAATTTATTATAATTTTTAATTGTTAGTGCATTTTTATTTTTAAATTAATCATGTGATAAGTTAGTACAATTTGCATTAAATTGTATGTATATATATATATATATATATATATATATATATATATATTCATGATTGATAAAGAAGAATGGAAGAAAGCGTAAATAATAAAAAGCAAAGTCGAGACAACAATGAAGGATTTAAAAAAAAAAGAAAAAATGCTGTGACCAATTTAACATCGCACATCGGTAAGATTCCACACAAAATTCTCGACCCGAAAATACTAGATAAGCATCCCGACAAGAGACGGATACCTCACGAAAGAGATCAGGGCAAAGGTCACAAAACGCCAATAAAGCGGTCTTCAAGTAATTATAAGTGTACAGACTAATATGGATAGGAAAAGTATAGTCAAAATAAAATAAATCGTTAAGGTAACAAATGAAAAAGTGCTTAAAAAAGAGAGAAAGAAAAAAACTCTAGGGATATGATTGCGAGAAAGAAATGTAACTAAATCGAACCCTTATTAAAAAAAAAAATGCCCTCTAAAGAACATCATCGAAGAAAAAACAGAAAGATAATTGACCATGTTTAACAACTAACACAAGAACAAAAAATACAAGGAATTGAAAGCCTGCACATGACACAGAAGCACAGAAGTTATATAAAACTAAGGGAGGGAAAATAAATTGAATGTAATGCCTTCATTCTATAAATCTGCCTTCCTGCAGAACAACAATAATAAAAAATAAATATAAGAAACTAAATCAATAAACGTAACAAAAGCATTAAACATGCAAGTAGCATTATTACATGGTAATAACAAACAATTTTCTATAACTGGTTAGAAACCAATCAAAAATTATTTTTAAATATTTTAATAGAAAGTTTCACCTTTTTCTGAATGCCATGGATCCGTTGGACACATCGCACATGTTGTAGAATATAGTATTTGGGTTTTTTAAAACTACGACAATCAAAGATTATACGTTGGTCATGAGAAAGATTGATTGTATTCAAAAATATCTGTATGCATACTCAGATCTAATAAAATTCATGTTCAAACTAATATAATCCTCAAACTCTGTTTTATCACAGTACATAATTAATTGACTTCTTAATGTCTCAATTGTAACGATGCAAATTTAGTTATATATAAATACTTTTTTCTCCATCAGACAGTTTTCGAAGTAAAATAACAATAGTTACTACCAAAATGATAGAATAGTTGTAAATAGAAAAAAATATTTTTCGATGTTATCAAGTCATGTATAAAATTATTTCGTAAATTTGTTTAGAAAACACATAAAAATCTTAATACTACTGAATTGCTCAATCTGTTTTCTAACCCAATATTGGTTTTAAATAGTAAAATATGATTCCTCCAACCAAAAATTCTCTGCCGCTTTGGGGGTCAAGATTAATAAATAGTGTTGAACTTCCTAAAATCTGTTTAAAACTATCTTTCCCTACATTTGAATTGTTAAAAAAAAAACAAAGTTAAAAAAAAAAGTATTCATTTCAAATCAAACATGCTTAATCCAAGAGGCTCCAACAGCTAATGAATAGCATTGATGTGTAATAAAGCTGACTATAAAGTATTGTAATTTTTATTAATTTATAATTAGTATTGCTTACCTCATTTAAGTCATTTATTATTAGAAGATGTCTTAACCCGAGAGCTCGGAATAAAGTGAACATGCGAGGTAGAGATGCAGTCTGAAAAAGTTACAAAAATCATTAGGTTAACAGATAAAATTAGACAACTAATAGATGAATTAAAAGTTCAAAAAGAACATAAACGATGGTCAAAATTTAGGTTGTGCACATGTGCAAGAATGTCCTGAAACATCAAGAAAACATAAATTTGATAAATGGTATATAAAAACTCATCTTTTATAGTAATTGTCGTATGCTCGCTTGCCAATAACTCTTATGCTCTAATCATTTCTCTTCAAAAATTTCTTATAATTTTCATTTTAATTTTAATTAGTTTATCTCTTATTACAATTGATATGTCCCTTGGTGTTTCTTTTCTGCCTGTGATTTTTCAATTATTATCTCTAATTTTAAATTTAAATTATTTCGAAATAAACTTACAGTATGCACCGTGTAAGGAGAAGGATTCATATAAGGAATTAAATCAATCGAGTATCTCTCATCATATTCCGATATTACTATATCCTGAAATATAATATATAAATAATAGTATAGCATAATTTCAAATAAAATTGAAAAATCTGATTATAAACTTACTTTTATATTTGGGTACCTAGGATATTTATCATAGAACAATTTGCTTGTGTTAACTGGGTTGCGCCTACCATTTGTTGGCTCACGAAACAGCTTACTATGCAGAATTACAATCAGCTGTGCACGTAATATTAAACCCCGTAATCGTTTTGGTTGATTATCGTTGACATATAGCTGTAAAAAAACAGAGTAATAAACTGAAATTAATATCCAAAGTAAAACAAAAAATGTACATCTGTATAAGTAAAAAATATACATCGCTTTAATAATTAAGGCATACAGAGAATAAAATCATTATGACCCACTTCCCTACTCAATTCAGAACTTTCCAGTGAATTGCAAAAAACTGTAAATACAAAAAATTCAAAAACTATAATAATTCTTGGGGAGCATTAAAACTTTGTATTACACACAAAATTACATAAACATTCAACAACTAGAATAAAGATACTATGTATTATAGTTCAACTACAATTCTGCAGGTCAATCCGCGAGTTTTAAAAATATAGTTATACAAGTAAGTTCAAGTTCTGTTTTACTAATTATACTGGCATTGATATTTAAAATGGTATTTAAAATTCGATTCTGATTTTTGTCCAAAAATTAAATAAAAACGATTTGACTGATCCACGCTAAACATCATTGAGTCGTATTAAAAGGGTTTTAAATATTTCAAGGTAGTAGAAACAATTTGGATAAAACATGGCCAAAACAATTGCATTCAGATATAGGTATGCATATAGAGATATACCTTTTCTACTTATTTTGACAAAATAATATAATTTAATTTTAAGAAAGCATTAATACACAATAAGCAGTTATTAATATGAACTGCAGAAGCATCCATAATTAGATAACTAAATGTTCATTAGTACTTACTTCATTATCAGCATATTCAACAACAGGAAAACCATTATGATCTGTCATTTTCAAAACTTCTACAATTCTTTTAACAGATTCTTTAGTTTTAAAATATATAACTGGTTGTGACATAACAACAGATGCAAAAATAGATGATGATAAAGGTGGAGAATGCCACTGCAGAAATGGTATGCCCGATAATTGTATATGAATATCATATATACCCTAAAAATAAAAGAATCTTAAAATCAATATATCGACAATAACTTGGTATTGCTATTTCAATGATAACTACTGTCGGTTTGAATGGCAGCATTCATTTTACAAAAAATAAAAACTAAATTTTTTACATTAGATTTAGATAAAAGTTTTCGAAAAAAATTATCATAAAAAATAAAAACTTAAATAAAACATTAAAACATGCTGTTATACTTCATTGAAAAAGTCTCCAGTCCATTTAGCAGCTATCAATGTTAGAATGATAGGTAGAGCAAAAGATATGTTTCCAGTCGATTCAATTAAAATAACAGACAAACTTAATGTCATACGCACAGCGCCCCCTAATAATGCAGCAGCTCCTATCAGAGCATATTTTCCTGGGTGCAATATCGTCTAAAAATAAATAAACTAGGTATAAGTTACAATTTGTAAATATAAGGTAAATATAACATTGATCACTCACACTATTTATTTGAGTGTATTGGAGAAACATAGCAGTCAATCTACCCCAAGCGGCACCAGCCAATAAAATAGGAATAAATAAACCACTAGAGACACTTAATCCATAAGTCCATATCGTTAATGGGAAGTAAAACATCACAAATATCAAAAGAGATAGTAATGTATTTGAACCTGTAAATAAATTAATCAATATAAAAGAAAATTTAAATTAACATCATAAGTTTACCTGGCGGATCATGAAATAATGATTTTACACTGGCCTCAGGAGTTTGAAACCATAAAGAAGCAACAGCACTGTATTCACCATCACCACAATATAACTGCAACAATTTTAATATTATATGACTTGAATATGTGTATTGATAAACCCTTACAGATTACAGATTTAGTTTACAACTAGAATGCAAAATTAATTTATGTTTCATATGCCTAACGTATGCAAACATATACATATATTAGCATAATTTAGGCATATCACCCGCAAACATTAATGGTCTCAATTTAAAGTTACCAATAATATAGGTATAGCTATGTATATAAACACATTATAAATAATATTAATTATAATTATAGTATAATTATACTATTAAATTTAAAAAACAAACTACCAAATTTACAATAATTAAACGATTTTATGAATCACAATTTAAGATTACTATATATAAATATATGACGCATTTTTTTGGTTTTTAATTACAGATTAGAATACCTTCACAGGAAATTTTGTAGGATCTTGTCCTAATGGTCTGCAATCCTTTATAAGCATTATCATTAAACATGCAACAGTAGCCATAATTGCAGCAACCAAAACAGCTTCTAATACTTTAGCCCAACACCAAATAATATATCTAGAGATACAAAAAAAAAAGCAGCAATTAAGAACAGTTAATGCAATATATTTGTAAAAGGTCACCTTTTCCTGAACTCTGTTAATCGAGTATTACAATGATTCCAAAGTGCTCCTAATAAACCACCAGCACTGCCCATCAACAAGAATATTGGTAATTCCGAAAATTCGTAAGAAAATGGTTCAAATTGTCCCAAATTAATCAAACCTAAGGAAAAATAAAATAAATACATAATTTGTGTATTATTTATGATGTAAAAAATGTATTAAGAAATGCGCCTATTTCCTAAACAAATTATTATTAAAATAAAAGAATTTATGAAACTCATGTCAATTTCTGAAAGACATACTTAATTAAATAAAACTTTGAATTCACTAAATTCAATGCACTTGGAAACACAATAAAAAAACATAAATAAATTAGAACAATAAAAATCAGTTTCAATTGCTTATCTAACAAATATTTAATCTTGATATTGTATATTACCTGAATATGACAGATCACCAGGATGTCCATGATATGCTGATAAAATAACATTTAAAGTAAACGTACTCATGACTGACGCAAAAAACGTTCTCCATGTCAATGATTGATTCCAAAAACTTGCACCTTCTTCAAGTGAAAACAAAACTCCACCTGATAAACAGAATAGTAACAAAAAAATAGAATTAAGGTTATAATGAAATACAGTGGTACCCCAACTTACGAGTAACCTGGAATATGGTGTTTTGAGTTTTCTTGAAAAATGTTAACAAGATGAAAATATGAAAAATTTCGTTAGTTGTAATAATGAATTTTCTACCATAGACATATTTTGGTTGTTTTATGATAGTAAATTATTTTATAGTTAGTCATTTCAATTGTACATTAATATTAATTGTGTAGTAATGATTTACACACGCGCATACATCGAGGATTATTTTAATGTTTGAAACTTTAACTATACATTAATAGTGATGTTCTGAGTTCTCATTGAGTTTGCTTTTTGCACATTTACAAAACATTTTTTACTGTCAGGTGTCTTGAATTATAGTGTAAAATTATTGAAAAATATGAGGATGACGAGGATAAACGAGTGTAGCACCTAACAGATATGTACTGTGTTTAAAAAAAAAGGAGGTGATAAAGAGTATAACTCCAGATAAGGGCCTTACAATAATGTATGAGCAGCTTTCTGTTCTAAAAGTTTGTAGATGATAATCACCATGAAAAAGTTGCAACAGTTGGATCATCAAAGTTGTTTAACAAAATATGTCAAACTCATTTCTGCAATATCATGAATAAACAGGAAAAATCAATAATTAAATTAATAAATAGCAAATTTATTTTTGATATTTAAGAAACCATAATCCTCGAATAAATTAATGGCATTTCAATTTATTTATATGGAAAAAATTGCTTTGAGATATGAGCGATTCGACATACGAGCATAGTAATGAAACAAATTAAACTTGTTCGTTGGAGTACCTCTGTAATTTTAATAATAACGAAATAACACTAATTCATGTACAACCTATAGGTGCACCAAAAGCTGCGGCGACCCCGGCAGCGGCGCCTCCAGATACGAAGTCACGTTTTTCGTGATCTTCACGAAAATAGCGAAAAATTTTTAAATCTCGTCCAAAAAATATACTCTTTCCTTGGGATATACCAGCTGCTATTATAGCTCCAGTGTGTATCATTGGTCCTTCCTATGAAACAAAAATAATAAAATCCTAAGACTTCCTATGCTATTTATATATGCCCAAAAATTCAGAAACCATGATTGCAACTTTTGCAGAACATACTGGAATTTTAGCTCAACATGATGATCAAATACTCGCCTCCAAAAATACATGAATCAAATGATTGTATCAGTGGAGGATAAAAGTAAGCACTACTAAATCAGTACATATTACTTCTACCTTCCATTAAGATTTGTGCCCACCCGTTAAATTAGATGGAGAGTTGGCTCTTGTATCAAATGTAGTTAAATAATTTGGTATGCATTTGAATAGAAAACTCATGTAGCGCAAGCATATAAATAACAAAAAAACACAAGTTAAATTTATACACTCCAATGTTTGCAGAGACAAACATGCCTTGATAGGATAAATAATATGATTTTTTTTCTCTTATATAATATGATATATATACAAGCTGGCAATAGCCAGTTATCGTACCAATATGTATGCATAATTAAAATGTTAGCTTAATATTCTTTGCAAAAATTACTATAATAAAAAAAAAAGTTTCCTAGTTTAAAAATATATATTATTTAATTATATTGTATCGTTTTGGTTGACTATCTATTATTGTAAATATGATTTCAAATATAATGAAATTACCTTGCCGCCAGCTAAACCTCCAACAACAGATGTTATAACACCAATAACTTTAACAACCATTGTCTTAAATCTGACAAGCCTGGGAACTTTTACACCATTTAAGAAGCATTTCACTTGAGGGATTCCGCTACCTCCAGCCACAGGCTAATGCAAAATATTAATTTAGCATATAAATAATTATGCATGAACTAGTTAAAATATAACAAAATTATAACTAACCTCTATATATGCAACTAAAAAGGATCCTATCAATACAGGAATTATATTCCAAGCTATCCATAAAAGATAGGGAATGTAAGTAGTACCATTTGAAAAATGTTTATCAACAGCTATTCTTCAATTAAGAAAAAATTGTGAATGCACTTCAAAATATTACATCAATAAAATGTCAAAAAATATTTTTAAAAAATCATAGTTCTTTAAACCAATTGACAAAAGGATACATTTAGAAAGCATAGTATATTTATATTCAGATAATTGTTCTATAACAATATCAACAACTGCTGCGATTAAAGCCACTAAAACACCTGTTGCAAGGCATATAAACCATCTTGCAGTATCTTTTCGCAAAATATATAGGGAACCTCTCCGCTTCTCCTCTTCAATGTATATGGAATTTTCACAAATATCATAATCTAAACTCTGAAAAAAAACGAAGTTGCTATTGGCATAGTTGGTTAAACGTATCAAAAAACATAGACAAACAAAGAAATATTTTGTTTGATTACCAAGTGATACATTTTACATTAATTTATAGCTTTGCCTGATTTTTGTATATATTACATAAGCATTTCCATTTAGATGATTCTGAATTTTACATTAAATTGTAAATATACATTTCTTTATCTCAATACAATCACATGCCTATTCAAATATTTGAAAAATTAAAATTTTAAACATAATTGACTTTCTCAATATGTCCGAATAAAACTAACATATCTTTGTTTTTATATATTAAATTGAATAAAACATTATACTTACTTCATATTCAGACGATAAAGAATAGGGAGACCTTTCATTTAAATTCCCTCTACTTCGGGGGTCTATACTGCTATATGTTATTAGATTTGGTTCTAAGTCTGATGAAATATTCTCATTAATAGTATCCTGAAGCAAAATACATAATTAAACAACAAAAGTATTGGATTGATGAAATTATAGTTCCTAAAACAAACATAATAAATGAAAATTATACATGTTTATAATATATATATTCTGGACCTAAAAATCTGATTATTTAGCTATATAAGCAAAAATCTATTTAAATAACTGCTTTGAACATCAAATAATATTTAAAGATAATTGTATGTACTACTATTGAACAAATCGGTTTCAGTGTATTGAAAACAAAAAGAAGCGAGAATATTTATTGAATCTGTATAAGCTTCATTAAACTATTAATCTATGCAACAGATATTGTATGAAATTAATTATACCCCAAAGGTCGTTATAAAATCTGCACTTTCTTCAGCCACATCATTATCATTATCTTCATTAATCAACGTTTCAGTATCACAACTATCTACTAACGAAGCTTCCATAATATTATTCAAAACAATTGATTGTTTTTAATATATTATATTATAATACACAAGAATGTATATGGTATAGAGAATTATTCAAAACGGGGTCTTTTAGATTTCACATTTTAAATAAGATTTGATCAAAATTCAAAGAGCAAAAATGGAAAACATTATGCGAATTATTCAAAACTGTTGTGAGTCATAACCTCATACTACACACTGACTTGCTGACTATCTTAGACTGACTCATAAAATTTTTAATAAATATATATAGAAAACAATATTATAAATATTGTTTTAAGTGCATTTAATATATACAACAAGTTAATGAAATCCTATTTCAGATCGCATAAAAATCGCATGAAAATGAAAACGGTAATGGGATGACATTAACCATAACCTCTAACGAAATGTCAAACTATTATTGTCAATGCGTCACACAAAACACAGGTTTGTCATTGTCACGTGGTCATACGAATTCACCGTTAGGATGAAAATAAATAAAATGCTTCCTTCTCATTTAAATTTATTTACAATTTGGCCAGTTGAAAACTTGAAGCTAATTTGCCATTATTATATTATTTAGGCTAATCTGCTTCTCTACACCTATCAAATGAGTTGCAAATTGTAACATTTTGCCTTAAGGCAGTTTACATTAACTTCTAACTTATTATAGATAAGTAAACAACTCACTCCGGAGTTATCACTCCGATACATCTCCTCCCTTGGAGTGAATTCGAGCGAAGTAGTGTCGAAGATTTTGTCATATCCGTCTTTCCTAAACTGGTATTAAATCTCGTGCAGACATTGCGTTTTTGCTTTGGGAAGGAAGCTATCGCTTTCTCGTCTCACAGGCAGTTTTATGACCTTTCAGGTATATGAGTCAAAATAATGCCATTGTGAATTGTGAACAATGAAATTGTGTTCAGGTGTAAATAGCTCAAATGCATAATTTATTGAATAGTAAGGGCTCATATTTCAAACTACGACAATCTTTGGCCGTGAATGACGGCAATCAGGAATATATATACTGAAAAATAATAATAACAAATAAATAATAACAATGTGCAAAATTTATCAGTGACATATCAATAGTATTTAAGCAGAAAAAATATTTAGTATTATATTATTACTTTTATACAATTATATAATTGTCTAAAAGTAATAATATGCTAATCAAACTCCCTGATATAATATTAATTCTCAAATGGAAGTAGCAGAAGAAAAATTTAGAAAGCAGAAGTATTATTATTTGGTAAAAATAATTTATGATAAATATTTTGCTTTTATTATAATGTTTACTACATTATTTTTATATAAAATTAATCCAAAAAATCAATTATTTTGTGACTTTTTATAATGATATCAACAAATATATATTTGTTGATATACATTTTTTCTGAAAAATCTCTCTTTTAATGTAATGTTAATTTATTGGGTAGTTAAATTTATTTTAATACAAATGATCATGTGTATTTAGATAGTGATAAAGTGTAATGCTTTAGCAAAATAATTTCCCACATCAATCAACTAAATGTAAAGTAAATTTAAATTTTACTTCAATGTATTGTAATATATATACTCTATATGAATTTGCTAGAAGCATGGGTACATTAATGTAGAAATCATGCCATAAATAAATATTGTAAAAAAAATTAACCTCTTGTATTATATAATAATGTATAAAAATTCACAAATTTTACAAATACTGAATGAATATCAATTATATAAATAACATTATAAGGAAAAGAGTATGTTCATTATGTATAATAAATGCTATCATCTAAAAATTAAATATTTCTATCATAAAATTATAGCTTATTTAATGGTAATTAAAATGATCACATTATTCAATTATGCATTTATGTGTAGTGTCACAGTCAATTTCATGAGCCTTTCACTTAAATTCACACTGAAACTTTCACTCTTAACTTTCAGTTATTGAACCATTTAATAACGACCACATTGATGTTTTGTTTGAATCCAAAGCCTATTCATATTGTAATACATACTTATGATAAAACAGAAGATACCTGCAAGAAAAACACATGGGAATCAGTTTATAAATAAAATATAAAATATATCACACAACTTTTTTAGTTAAATTGCTTTCATAAAATTTATCTAAAAAAAAATTTTATATTAATATTTTTTGCCAATTGAATAATATTCAATAATCTGAGCTTACAAAAGATGAAATATTTTTTTTTTTTTTTGAAACCACGCCTCCTTTTAAAGAAATTTTGTTGAAGTAATAAATGCTATACAAACACAAAGAAAATGGTTATTTTTAAGTATATAATAAGAGTAAAGCACAAAATGAATATACACCTAAATTAACATATAATATATACATCTATGTTTCTCCAATCTACAAATAACTGAAACTAACCCTTCACTTTCCAATACATCTGCTAGATTAGCTGATGTGACATTACCATCATCACATTTAATCCAAAAATCTTGATAATGACGAACATAAGCAGTATAATGACCACTTCCCAAGGTAACACCATGATGATTAACAACAGCAAATAAAAAATATCTATTGTCTTCCATTAATAATGAGTGATCTGCAAATCCTGAATCTGCATCTGAGTCTCCTGATAAAGAAGATCTTGATACAGACATAAACTCTACCATATCTATTTGTGCAGGAAAAGATATTTTCTTTGATATTTTCATAAGCTGAAAAAATAAAAATTAATCAGTAAAAGTTAAAAAAGTAAGACAAATACGTTAAGTAATTTATATCTAAATTAGATGTTTGTATGTATATTCTATTTTGCCGATTTTAAAATAAAATTCAATATTCAAAATCATGACAATAAATTTTCTTACATTAAATCAAATATTGTCACTTTCTCGGCAGCTGGCATATTAATTAGGTTTTTAAATACTAATGTTAGACTATTAATCAACAGCAATGCTTAATGACTGTCTCAACTGCAAGCAGTGAATAAAATTGTTACATTGAGATTTGAGAAACCGACCACTCACACATTCAGTCTTTTAAGGTATGCTAAAATTCAGATCAGTTGGAAATAAAACAAAAAGAAAGGGACATTTAATATCACTTAAAAAGCTGAATGATCTATTCTCACTTTACCAAATTTTGAAACAATTTGTAGGTCCGTTTGTAATTTGTAATTCAGTTTCAGCTGTAAATTATATTTATTAACTGAAAATTTAGCATAGTCAATACCTTTGTCATTTCAAATCGCTTCAATTGAAAACAGAACACAATAGGCAGCGATTTGAAAGATAACTGCTTGGTTGATTTTCTATTATCTTGACAATTTTCACAGTTGAAGTTTATATCAGTTTCAGCACATGTATAACTCTTCAAACAATCAAGAAGGCTGCAAGCACCTCCTGCCTCATTCCCCAGATCAATAGATATATCACGAATTGGTTCTATCTTTGTTGAAACTGACCTATATTTAATGTATTTATGAAGAAAAAAAATAGCCATAAATAAAATACAGTAGTTTTATGAAACCAGTAATTGATAACAAAATATACCAATCTAGTGATTAACTAGATATCAATCAATGCAAAAATATATCAAATATATCAAATCATGTTGAAATAAAAGTTAAAGTATGAAAGAATATTTACTTGCAGGTTTGGCAAACAATGACACTTTTCAATTCTCCTGTAAAAATCTGATCTATTATGCAATCACATCTCTCGATTTTGTACGATCTTATAGAAGGAAGTGGAACACCATCAAAATCCAAACATACTCTTTGCGGTGACACAGAATGAGGTACTGAACTTTGGCAATGCAAATGTAATAAATCTATCAGAGCAGTAAGTAACTCATGAGCATCATGCTGTTCATCACTAGCCAAATGAGCAGCATGATTCCATATAAAATAAAGGAGTCTATACAATGCCATGGGGACTATGGATCCTGAATAATAATCCTGAAAAAAAAAATTAAATTATATTCAGAGTCACAAAACACAAAAGAGTAGTGCAGTGATTAAGATCCTGCTATGAGAATACTATGCTGCTATAGTAGATGTAGATGCTGTAGAAACATAATTACCGACTGATTACATACAAAGTGTAGGTACAAATCTCACCACTAAATAATTGAATTTTTTTCATTACTATTATTTATAGTAAATAAGTTTTCATAGAACACTGTGTTTGTGAAATGTTGTCAGAAACCAATAAAAAAAAATCAGTAATTTTTATATATAATTACATGAATTGAACTTGAAAAGACAAATTTTGAAGTCTGTAGCGGTTAGAGGTTTAACAAAAACATTCAATGGAATTCCAGCCATTTTGAAGCGTTGCGGCCACCAATTATGGTTTGACTGAATGTGTATGAACAGTTTTATTTCAAGAATAAATTTTAATATAAAACAGTCATTACTTGGCAATTAAATATCACTTAAACGCATTGGCACCATAACGAATACTGCTGATTTTGTAAACTTAATAGTATCCAAATCCACTGGTATACATATTCCAAAAATAACTTTTGATTAAAACTTATTCCAACAAGCATTTTACTTCGTAATTAAATTTGATTATTTAACTCCTGCTATAGTCTAGTCTCACTCCAGTTCTAAGCATGTAAGCTTTTGTTCTATGCGTATGTTTGTAAGGAAACTATAATTTTCCAATAACACACCATTGATCACATCCCACTTATGGTTGCAGCAAAAAAAATAAGTGACAAATGACGAATTTATTTAATTTCATAATTGGAGTAAATTTAGTATGACAATGCACTCGCTCATTTTAAAGCCTCTCTTGGACAATCAAGAACAACATTACCATATAATTTATATTACATAATATATTAAACAAATCTTAATACAATGTATTACCTGAAATAAGTTAACAAATTCACACATGAGGCATCCCAATTCAACATTGTCTGCATCAAATGAGCTAGCACGCTTATGCTTTTCTGATAGCATATAAACTCTGAGTAAAGGTGTATGAACCAAAACCTAAATTCAAAATAAATAAATAAATAAATAAATAAATACATATATATATATATATATATATATATATATGTGTGTGTGTGTGTGTGTGTGTATGTATTTGTAATTCTGTACTACCTGTATAATTGCATTTATGTAACAAGTGGTTCCCCCTAAATTAACGAGGCCTCTTACTCCAAAGGTTGATTTATTTGAAATCATTCGTACATTCTTGGAAAAATCTTTTAGCAAACCAGGATCATAATCTAAATTAGCCCAAGGCCACCAAGAAAGACTTATATTGAGACATCTAAAATTATTACACAATTAAACAAATAATATATATATATATATATATATATATATATATATATATATATATATATATATTACAACAGCTTCTAATTAGTTTGCTCAAAATTATATTCAGAACCATATTCACGTAAAATAGTAATTACTCCTTAAAAAACCTTTAGAATAAAAAGTTTTCAACCTTATGGTGAGCATATTTCTATAAAACTACGATAATCTAACAAGTTAACAATTTAAAAAAATATTTATATGTGCATATTGTTATTACACTACTATAATTTATTAGAATTGCAAAATAATGAAATATAAATTTCAAATTAAATTCTATGCACTAAAACAAATCTACTAACAAAATTATCTGAAAAGAACGGATATCAACAATATTATGATCTTTGTTTCAACTAATTTATAGCGTATTTTTCATAATTTCTAAATAACAATTGCTTTAACTGTATATTTATGTAATGTGCATTATAACACAATCTACCAATATTATTAATAATTCAGTTCATTTGGAAAAACAGATGAATAAAAAATCAACATAGAAAATTAACGTCATTATTAATTCATAAATATGATCCTTGTTTGACTTCATTATGATAACGTTTTTGCTATTTTTCTCAAGCTTTAGATCAGAAATTTAGTAACAAAAAAAGTGTTTCAAAAACAAGCGGACTTTTTAGATCATGGTTGTTAAACTCTGAATCATTTTGAATAAACCATATAGCTGTATCATAATATTTAATATATAAACCTTGATTGTTTGATTTTGTTTTCTTTAGCTATATTCAATAGCTCTTCATCATATACATAATCAGAGCACAACATGCAATGTATAAAACCAAAACTGAGATCAATTGTTAAATAGTGTTTATTTAATATACAATGTGAATTTATGTGGTCTCCATGGCATGCAAAATAAATACAATTGAGGCACGAGTGAAGTCTAGGTCCAGATTCACGACACACGAAACAAATGCATGATGTAGCCTGAAAAAGAAAACAATTCTAAATAATATGAACTCGCAATCTAAATGAGAACAATAGAATACAAATTCTATGCCTAACAACCAATTTTTGCTTTATTTTAATACTGTTGCTGTAACTTCAATCTATTACTGTTTACATATTAGGAAATAAAAATTATCATGTTACTTTTTGTACTATTTTATGTGGTACAGTACTTTTCAAAATTTATTTTAGTAGTAATTATTGCAAGTTACAAAATTTACAGATCAATTACAAAAGATTCGCTGCAGGTCCTTTGTAACTCTAGTTGTGAGAATTATATTTCGACAGTTAACAATTAATTTGGATAATAAAATTTAGAAATGTCTGAAATACACACCTTCCTAAGTCGAGCTTCGGCAGAAGTACAAGCGACAAAATACGAACTAACTAAACGATAATGCTGCGTACCCCAGGCAGATTTGAAATTACTTAGATGTACGCAACCATTCTCAGTCATTTCACCGTTTTAGAACCTTTCAGTGAAAAAAAATAAGAATATAATTGTCACAATCTTACTGCGTTCTACACTCATGCGACCCGAAATAATATCTTTTACTCATATTCTTGTTAAATTCATAAGTTACAGCTGAATTCAAGATTTGGCAATGTTACTAAATTCAGTCACAATTATTTTTCAATTGTTAAAATAATGGAAGACAAATTACAGAAGATAGTTGATAAGAGACATCTTTGTCGATTCTAGATAATTCATCCGTTCCGTTCCACTACCCACACCAGTCGTCCTCCCGGTTCTCGTCTCGGCAACGCTCGTTCTGGCTCGTTCGCTATTCGTTCGCCAGGTGACGTCGCTATCGCTTACTATCTTTTGACCCATGTATATATGTCCACAGATAAACATGTCTATACTTAAATTAGTTACGTTGTTTATTAAGGTGCGTCCACACCTACGAACGAACAAAACCGAACACAACTAACAAAAAAATACAAAGAGGAACGAACACGAACGAAGGCGAATCATTCCAAATAAACTTGAACAAACGCCTCAAAGCAATGAGAGCTTGAATCTTTTATGTTCGAAGATGTTCCGTTAGAGAAAAATTATTTAAAGTGATCAAATTTACAAAATTTATCGATAACAGCAACATCTCATAATAATCACAGCATAAACTAATGCAGAACTGCACACATTAACACCAAAAAAGAAAATGTTAGTCTACATTCGGTCCTATAAAATTCGATCGTTTGTCATGATCCGATCGCTATACATTTTTTTTACGTGTCCTCTATGTAGTTCTCCACACGATGACCCTCCAGTTTTTTGATCTGATCAAAAAAATCAAATATTGGCAGGTCAAAAACCACCAAAATTTTGGGATTTTTTTTTCAGCACGCCGCCATTTTGTCAGTTTTTTATTTTTTATACGCCCGAGGGTCATCGTACAGATAATATGATTTAGTTTAACTTTAATTTTTTAATTATAATTATATAATTATACTGTATAATATAATTTATACGTATATGTTAGTTAATTTATTTAATTAATTTATTAACCACCAAAATTTTGGGATTTTTTTTTCAGCACGCCGCCATTTTGTCAGTTTTTTATTTTTTGTACGCCCGAGGGTCATCGTACAGATAATACGATTTAGTTTAACTTTAATTTTTTAATTATAATTATATAATTATACTGTATAATATAATTTATACGTATATGTTAGTTAATTTATTTAATTAATTTAGTAGTTATTTTTTATGTTTTATCAACGTAGAAGGCTGCAATCACTCCAGCAGTGGACCTTTTTTTGGCGCCGCCGGAGATTGCGTGTCATTTCAAAAATATTTAATATTTTATTTCAAAAATTTTACTGTGATTCACTTTTTTTTTCTTTTTTTTAATTCCTATAAATGGCTTTTTTTAGGTTGGTGGGGCACTAGGATGTTTGAAATTGTTGGGAAGACAAAAAGCAGATTTCAAAATGTCTTATGGGACGCACTATTGTTTGATGCGTGGACAAGTGCCTAATTCACATGGCAAAGGAGTAACGTTTCATAGGGTAACTTTGTATTATGTAAATTATATCTTTGTACATTATATCCTGGAACTATATTTTAAAAAAAATCTTGTTCATTTACAAGCTTTCCTGTAGATAAAATTCAATAATTGTAAATAATAATACATTTTAAGTTCTCATTTCGATTGGAAATGAGAATTTCATAACATTTGAACTACATTTACTTTTAAAAAGTAAATAACAAACTTTGATTTTTCAAATGATAAAGTTTGTTTTACAATAAATTCATGAAATTAATATAATAATGAATGTTAATGAAGTTAAATTAAATTAAATAGTCTTATAATTCTGAAATTTAATAAGTTTCTGGGAAGTTATATGTGGGGTTATATGATATAGACTATATCTTGTTGTTCATCTACAGGTTTTCTAAAAAGGAGAACAGTTGGCTATAGCTATTTAATATCACCAAGAAATCCCTGAGGATAAAAATTGAAGCGCATCAGCTTTGAAGTAGGCATTTCGCATCGGCCAATTTTTTTTGTGAAAAATAGTGCAACAAGATAGCATTACATCATTGGGCCTGATTACCGAGTGAGTTGCATTCTCATTAAGTATTTCAATACAGCATCTCGATGTTCAATTTTTTTCTCAAGCTTACATCATCTTACTAAGAAATGTTGCTTCAAATTTACAATTTGCACAAAATTTTCTTGAGCGGCACCTATGCCTTCCAGCAAAAAAGTATACAAATTTTAAATAATCTAGTGTATGCTAAATAATCTAGTGTAATGCACATGTGATATAGTACATCTTATGTAATCAACAACATAATGTAAACTATGTAATATGCATATTACAAAAGAATATTTAATGTTTTATAGATACTGGCCTCTCTCAATTGTCATTCAACGATAATGAATTAATGGTGGCATCAACCTCAGTTTCACGCAGAAAACCACGCTATCCCGGCGATATTCGTACTCAAGACATAAGGACATCAAATTGAGTAAGAACATCTATAGAGTTTTTGAAGAAATGGATTACTGTGCAAAACAAAACCATTCATAAACTCATGAGACAAGTTGGAGCCAAAAACAAGCGTATCAATAAATTACGTGATGCCCTCAACTACATGAAGAGAAAATTTTGTAATAATTCTGATGCAGCACAGCTAGTCACTAATTGTAGGTGAAATATTATCGCAAAAACTTTTTACTATTGGAAATATACTATAATGTATGTGTACACATTATGTTATGTCAAAGACAATTAAGCAAATAAATGAAATCATGTAAAATTTAAAAAACTTTTTTAAATTATACCTCACTTTTTTGAGGACAACATGCCTGTTATTCTCGGTGATTTGAATAGCAGAACCTCCAATGAGAAACGGACGAAATTTGAGCCTGTAATTCAAAAATCATCAACGTCTTCATTACACAAACAAATTGATAGAACGGCGCATATTCATATTGCTGAAAACAAGATGAGTGTTAGATTATAAGGTCTATGGGCTTACTACATAATTTCGTTATTAAAATTTTAGTTCCTTATTTTATTTTATTGGTTCTTTTTTTCATGAAACAATGTCTTTAAATATTGTGTTAATTATGTTCAAGTGATGACACACATACAGTGTCGCAACGTACATAATAAATATTTTATTTATTGCTTTTTATTTCGACTTAGTTAGTTGCAATTAAACATTTCAAGAATATGTCTCACTGAACAAAAAAATGTAATATGTATACATACATACATATTACACATATGACAAAGTTGTTCTTGGGCATCCATCCAATAATTAAAACAATTTTATTGTAGAAAAATGTTTTTATTGTAATATCATACGTTTCGGGTCTTGATTTGGCCCATCTTCAGTGCATACAAATAAATTAAAGTAAAACACGAAAATATATAAAGACCAAATGGTATAACATCAAGTTATGACATTTTTAATAAACCTATTAAATTAAAATAAAATCTTTTTTTTAAAAAAAAAAGGCTCTTCTCATACAGACATATTATTCGTTTACAGTTTGTTTTACAAGTATTAAGTACAAGTATATCCATATATATGTATATATATATATATATATATATATATATATATATACATTTTTTTGAATAGTCTTGAATTTGATGTTGATATATTTTTTTAAAACGTATGGAAATTAAATAAAAATTGTAATTTTCTTCGGATGGTGATATGTTAATAAAACCAAAAAACTTTTAAAACAAGCATCCATCCAGATGATAAAAAGAAAACTAAATTATGTTTCTTGAAGTAAATTTAATAATAGTCCATACGTTTGGAGTCCCAATTTGACTCTTCTTCAGTGGCAATAGAACACATAAGCAATTATGCACTAAACACTAAATAAAAACGTGTAAAAGAAAATTGTTACTTATAAACAAAACACGTTAGTGAATATAAATTATATTTCTAAAGTTAATTAAAGCAAAAAAAAAAAAAAACAAATAAATTGGAACATCACATCTCAAAGAACGAAACACAGATGTTGACATTTGTGATTTTCCAATTTATTATTAAAATAATGTATGTAATAAATAAACTATCTAATAAATAAGTTCACAGTTTGATATTTTTACTTGGTAAACTAAGTTTCTGAGGCCGTTTGAATTCAATTTTGATTTGACTTGAGTTTTAAGGGTTGTATTCCAATTAGGTACCAACAATAGGCCACACGAAACTTCTCCACGAAAAATATGTCTTTTCGGTATGGTAAGCAAATAACTGCAGCGTATAATTCCAAGTCTAAATGACGTACAGTAGAGGCTCCTTATTCGCGGGAGGTACGTTCCATGAAGATGGCGCGAATAAAGAATACAGGATCCTTGAATACAGGTTGATAATTTACATGGGATTATAGGGAATACGTTCCAAGGTCAAAGATAAAATAAAGAAAAAAGAATATATGAAAAAAATATTTTTAATTGTAGTTTTTGAACAATTATTAATTATGTCCAGGGTGAAGCAATAGTTTGAAGATAGTTTGAAGTTTTTAATAGCTTCTTCATTTCAAAATGATACTCGGCAGGCACATTGCGCATAAAAAAATTGCCTCTAAGAAGAAAGGCTTTGCCCCACAGACGGATCAATATTCATATAGAAATCACACTAATTTTTTATCTTCTCTATGATTTTTCAAATTAAATGTCACCTTTTTATTGCTTGAAGAAATTGAATTGCTCTTCTTTAACCCATTCGAGACCCGTTGCACACCGTGCGTGCAATAATAACCAGTGGTGTTGTCGAGCCGGAACGTCGTTCCGGCAAATTATTTTTGGGCCGGAACGCGTTCCGGTAAAAAAAATTAAAAAATCGCTACATACAGAAAATAATTTAATAAGAGAATTTTCAAAATTATAATTCAACTATTTTTTATTAAATGTACCTATTATTGTAATAAATATACATATATGAGCACAAAATGGGTTTTGTAATAATTTTTGTTTTTTTCCTTTTCGAAAGGAACCGGAACAAACATGAAAACCGGTTTTTAAATTTTAGCGTTCCGGCAAAAAAATATTAACACAACACCACTGATAATAACTATAGTTGGTATTGGTATTTTGCCTTGAGGCAAGTTACATGAACTTCCCGATATGTGTAAATAATCGACTTAATCAATAAAAAATAAATTAATTCATGAGTGATTACAGTATTCCAAGTGGATTTATTACACATAATTGAAAAAGAACGAACGCTTTTCTAAAAGCAAATTTTCAAAAATCAATAATTTTTATAATTGAACCAGTTTCCGTAGCACTTTAATGGTTTAGTATGTTCATTAAGACCAAGTAGTCTATCGTTATACAAAGTAAATCGTCTAATTTTAATTTTAACAAACGTCAAAAAAACTATACTCATTTTCTCAAACTTTGATAAATTTTTATTCTATAAGACCATGATATATATCGCCAAAAAAGTTCCATAAAAATCGGCTTAAATTTTTACCATTTTAACAGTTATCTACAAGAAAACGGCTCGGTAGATTTGTACTTAAACTAATCCAGTATCATTCCCAACTAATATCTTTCGAACAGTTTTTGATTTTTTTAAGTCGATTCGGTAGTATGAGCTTACATGTAGACGAAAAGTTTAACACTTTTTTCCATATTACAAAGAAGAGGTTTGGCAAATCAGCACGAAACTGACCAACGATAGTCCTCATTGAGATACATCAAATAGCTTTTAAATTTCTGAAATCGCTTCAGGCGTTTTTGAGCAAATGTCGATGAAAGGTTTAATTTTAACAAATGCCAAAAAAAACGATACTAGTTTTTGTAAACTTTGAAGAATTTTTAAAATTAAACGACTTGTCGTAAGGCCGTAATATTTTAAAATGAGTATAAAAGTATTTGTCAGGTATAGAAAAACAAAAATTGGCATTGGTTTTATTACGTACCAAAACAAAACAAAACAAAATGTTTGGAATTTCGAAATCTACTAATAATTATTTTCAGGCCGGTGTGCTGTTTCCCAAACATGTATTTACAAATTGTATTTTCTTTTTCATTACTGTGTTACATTACTTTATTACCTTTAGACATTTTTCTAAAAATTTATTTCTTGTTTATATTATTTTCTTTATTGCGTGGGAGATATTTTTGGGATGTATGGCTGCCAAAATAAGGAAGAAAGCTAATGCATATACTAGTATACCCTATTTAGTCGGGTTATTTGGATTATACGTTAGAAATGATACTCTTCCTTTGAATTTTATCACTGATTCGTCGACACAAATTGCTTTATAAGGTATAAAATATTCACTTAATTTAGAATTTATATATTTTAAATAATTGCTGACCTTTTGAATACGAGTGTCGATTGTGTTATCGCTTTGCGCATCTTTATTCAAATGAAGCATCCGAAAGATTTTTAAAAATCTGTCCCTACTGAATGTTTCAGGAAAAAAAGGAATTTTACTAATAGAATCAGTAGACCAATATTATTTGAGATTTGGCTGGTGTATCAAACCCATATTTAGAATGACGGCCACAAAAGCTAAACTTTCTTGCTTGGTAACATCATGCCACTTGTTGCCACTTGATAATTGTTTGTTCATTTTTTGTTGGCATAATGGTTTGTGTTTTCTATTATATTGTCTATTAATTCATTAGTAAAATATAAAGTAAAATAATCTATTGGATGCCTTATATTGCTTGGTATTTGTGGCCCGGGTGTTTGTTGATGTATGTCAAACTCGATTATTGAAGGAGAATCGGCACATTCGCTAATGTCTTTCCATTCTTCATTTAATTTGTCATTTATAAAGATATTTTCTGTTTCACTACTTGTATCGGTTTCACTATTTGTCAAACTTCTTCTTCTTCTTGTTGGTTGGATAATATCATCATCACATTCATCACTATCTTCGGAGCGAATAGTTATTTCGTCTAAATTGTCTGTATAAATGTCTATTTGAAATTCATCTTCACTACTGCTTACATTACAAAATTCACCAGTCGTTTTGCCACATTTAAAAGCGCTAGGTTGTTTTGACATATTTAAAAAAAAATACTATATGGCAAAGAAAAAGGGTAAAAGACTTCTAAAATAACTAATAATTATTTTCAAAATTTAACACTGTTTATCACTGATATATGCGATCTATTCAACGTTTCGATCCAAACTGAGTCATTGTTTATAAAATAGCCTGTGCCTCATGAAGCATGTTTGTCCACTGAGGTAGACAGCCGCCCCCAAAGTGTTAAGGCAAATTGCTGGAACTTCCCGTACCGTAATTCAAAATCTTGGTACGGAACCAAATTGGCCGCAGAATGACATTTTTTTAACTTATTTTTATTGAGAGTCCATAACCGCAGGACCTGCCTTCCCAAAAATTTAATCAGTTCTTCATCTTGTCAATACAAGTAAAATGTTTTTAAAATCAGACGCTCCGTTCTCTTAAAAACTGAGTTACCGCGTTTTTGGCCCGTATCTTCGAAACGGCTAGACCTGCCTTCGGCAAAAAACTAATCAGCACGTCTCCTTATGAATAAGAATTGAATGTTTTTTTTAATTATTCGAAACCGTTGATCGGTGTTCCCGAAATTGTCGACGAAAATTTGTATCCGCACACGCACACACACACATACATCAATTTTTTCTAAGGTATGCCAAAATGTTCAAAAACCTTTGAAACGTAAAGATATATACAAAATTTCATTTTCGATTTCTTTGCGATTACTATAACTTACCCTACGGAAAATTTCGCTTCTGGGGACCGCGGTCGAAAAAAAAAATCGCAGTCTCGAATGGGTTAATGGGAATATTTTGTTTCATATCGGTTTAAGTCAAATTTTACTATAGAATGGAACAGCAACATTTAAAAATGTAATTTATATTCTATAAGATATAAATAAGGTTGTTTTCATTCCCAAAAACACCGAAGAGGACGAAGGCGGCTTATATCAAAGTTTTATTATTAGTTTAAAATGACGGCATTTACAAAACATATATGCTGTTGGATATAAATTGGAATTCGCGAACAACCGAGTTCTTAGAATATAAGAATCGGATCGCATTATTTGTCGCCGTGAACGCGAATAAGGAACTTCTACTATATTGAATTTTAATAAATTTCTATTGTATTTTATTATATATATCTTGATAGTTTTTCGACATTGAAACATATGCAAAAAAAATGTTTCAACAGCCCATTCGTCGAAATAAAAAAATAGTAAAGAAAAAAAAATTCCTTCATTGTTATACGTTTCGCCACTTTATGTGCGTCATCATTCAGTGATCACCATGTTCAAAACATCATAATAAAATTTATTTATTTTTAAATCAAACGGAAATTTAACATCAGAACAAAATTATTAGAAAGAGAAGAATTCTAATATTTAAATTCATCATGCAGCAAAAAATCACGCTACGGACAAATCAAAAGTTAAAAAACAATTTCAAATGTTTCAATATCGAAAAAACTATCAAGATCTATATATATATATATATATATATATATATATATATATATATTTATATATATATATATATATTTATATATATATATATATATATATATATATATATATATAGTTGTATTTGCTAATATAATAATTATCTTCTTTGCCTACAGTATACAATTATATTGCTTTTAAGTCGTTATTCATTAATCCATTCATGCATCAAACTAATGACAATAAAGATTAAGAAACGGCTGCAAATCTTGCATTCAATGTGCATGTACTAATAACAAGTGTTCAGTGTATAAAATGAAACTGAATACCAATGATTATAAGTTGCTTTTGCAGAATTATAAATAATTTACATGAATCTTAATGTATAATTTATATTTAAAAAGAAAAACCTAACGTAAAGAAAATTGTGCTATACAGAACTCTTTAGGTGGTGGTTTAGTTGGAATTTTGCCAAGTATAAATTTAGTAGCTTTAAAAGCAGCTACATCACCATCAGTTAAATTTTTAAATTCACTAAACACATCTGAATTGCTATCATAATTAAAAAAAAAGCCCATTTTTGTTTGTTGTGCTTGTATAAATGGATTATCATTATTTTGTGTATTAGTTATGAATACATTATCGCTATTTTTTGACTTGGTATCAGTTGATATACTACTAGCATTTCCTAATAAATTTGTAGCAAATATCTTACAATCCGATGCGGCCCCTTGTTCATGGATTGTTCTAGTGTCAGTAGAAATTGCTCCTGAAGTGTTATCTGCTGGTTGAACAACATATTGTCCAAAAGCATTGTTATTAGCATTATTAGCTTGTGTGAATGGTGAGTTCATTTTAACTATATCTGCAGATTGACCAAAAACTTCCTTCACTGAACTAGTGGCAGTATTACCAAAAGGCTGATTTGTACCAGATGTTTGCCCAAATGATACATTAATAATATTTTGATTAGAAGTTATTCCAAAAGCATTTTCGCATTGGCCAAACATGGTGCTACCAGAAGCTGTATTTGCTTCAACCGACCGCTGCAGAGGAAATATAAATGCATTTGATGTTGGAGGAAATGCATTATTAACTGGAGTTGAGAATCTATTTTCATGTTGGGGAAGAGTTTGACTTATCAAATTTTGTACTTTGTTAACCTGTTGAAATATATTCTGCTCACTGCTTTGGAATAATTGATTATTTTGTGTAGAAGATTGAAACATATTTGGTTGTCCAAAACTTGGTGCCCCTCCAAAGATGTTCTGTGGTTTCTCAAAAGATGATTTTGTAAACATATTACTTTTGACAATACCTTGACTTGTATGGAATGGATTATTGCAATTTGTATTTCCATTTCCATTATATAATTCATATAAATAGTTCAACACTTCAGCTGAACCAGTTTTCAGCAATTGCATATTTCTTGTTGCTTCTTCTATTTTTTTAGCTAATGTTTCTGTCTATAAAAAATAACATAAAAGGTCAGTCAGATAACTTGAAAATAACTTACTTAAAATCAATAAATTACAAATATTTAGGCAAATATAAATTGAAGCACAAGAAAAAAAACTTCAGATAGCCAAAACTCAAACAAATTTTCCAAATGATATTGTAACAAAGAAAAATGTATACATATTGGGAAAGAAGCCCATTTGCTTTAGCCTGGTAACACTCCCATCGTACTTCCTCTGGTGAAATGTCATCAATAAACTCGGGAATTATTAATCCCAATTTATCACGAAAAGGTGCAAAACAAGATAGAATCCACTGCTTGCCATTGAGAACTGTATCAGATTCGGTTGCAACTGCCAGTCTACAATTAAATATAAACTGTAATATATTTATACTAGAAAAGACTAATTCAACAGATAATCACGTGTAGATTAAAATATTATGCACCTTATCTCATTGATTTTGCTTTCCGGCCTGTATGATGATGAAATATGTTCATTCTTGCAATTGTCCCCAAAGCGGCACATTCCGCGTTGAAAGTACGTACAAATAGCCATTACAGATTAAAATATTTCGTATTTCTTGAAATTCAATTTCATAAATAAAAATTGAATTATAACCAAATAACTCAATAATAAAAAATAAAGTATGCAGTAAAATCCTCAGGTGTAGTAATTATAAGTATGATCACTGTTCAAAAGTAAAGAGTAAATATTTCAAAAGACTAATATTGTTGCAAGGTCAGTATTTATCAAGTATAAAAATCAAAACACTGTTTATTGCCCGAAGTGCAGTCTTATTGTGAATCCTAGACAATATAATAATCCTAGACAATATACTAATAATGTTGTGAATGAAGAGTGCAAGGTGCAAGAAATGACAGTACACAACACAACAACACAACCGACAGACGCCAGACGCATGCGCAGATCGACAGAACGATGGCGTCCGCCCGTTAATGGTTTGTGACTGCCGTTTAACGGTTTAGCATTTAGTTTGCTACGGTCATGAGCATAGATAAATAAGCATAAATGGTCATGAGCATGTTTACTTATCTATGGTCATGAGCTGGCGCTTGCGCCGGATGAAGGTGCGTCCTGACCTAACGAACGAACACGAACAAGCAAGAACGTACGTACCAGAATAAAGGTGCACCACACCTAACGAACGTGAAACAAGAAAATACAAAGAATAACGAACACGAACACAAACGAATGCAAATAATTCCAAACAAACGCCTCAAAGCAGTGAGAGCTTAAATCTTTTTGTTCGAGGATGTATCGTGAAACGTCAGATTTTTTATTTAAAGTGGCGGGAAAGATAAAAATTATTTAAAGTCATCAAATTTACAAAATTTGTCAATAACAGCAATATCTTATAATAAACACAACATAAACTAATGCAGGACTGCACATTTTAACATCAGAAAGAAAAATGTTCATCTACATTCGTGGTAGCGTCCACACTGCACATACGAGTACAAATATGAACAAACAACTCCCTTTGATGTACCGACAAGATGCGGCTTTTTGTAGAAGCAATATTTGTGCCGGTTTTAGGTGTTTTGTCCCGGATTGTCCCCTATTTTTAAAATTGTTTTGATTGCCATTATTTTTTAACTTCCCGTAGGGTAAGTTATTGTAATCGTCCAAAAATCGAAATTGAAATTTTTTACATTTCTCGACGTTTTGAAGGTTTCTGAACATTTTGGCATACCTCAGAAAAAAAGGATGCGTGTGTGTATATGTATGTATGAATAAAATTTTTCGGCCACGTTATCGGGCGCACCGATCAACCGATTTGAATGGTTCAAAAAAATATTGATAGGGAGATGTGCTGATTAGTTTTTGGCAAAGGCAGGTCTAGCAATTACGGAGATAAAGAGCAAAGAGTGCAGAAAATAGAAATCAAGTTTTTGAGAGAACGGAGTATGCGATTTGAATGAACTAAAAATATTCAATTAGGAATGATTGGGAGTAGTGATTATTAGTTTTTGGTAAAGGTAGGCCCAGCAATTTCGAAGATACGGAGCTAAATGTTTAAAAAATTGCACTTTTTGAGAGAACTAAGCGTCCGATTTAAATGATTCAAAGATGCTTTCTGCTTGTTTTAATAAAATAATTGATTTTGAAAAAAAATTTGTTTCAAAATAATTTTTTTTCAAAATAATTTTTTTTCAAATTTTTTTTTTCAAAGAAAAAAAATTATATCGAAAATAAATCAAATTTTATTTTTAATTCTGACTAAAGTTATAATATACTTTAAACAAATAACTTGAACTTTGCAATTCAGTTTATATAATTCATATAAATATTAGACAATGTTACAACAATATTTTTAATAATCTATTTGAAAACATTTAGTATTTCTCGAACATTTCGTTACGGTACGGGAAGTTCCAGCAATTTGCCTTAAGGCACGATTCCATACACCCCACTAGTTTTTAATATATTTCAACTACAAATGTGTCATCATAAATAAATAAAATAAACATAAACCGGTCATTATTACCGAACAGACTCGTATATTATACAAGATGACACATTTGAAAAGAAGATATAACTTGATATGATTTGGATATGTGTGAATTTTCAACAATTTACAAAATAATAATTTTTAAAAATTAATTAAAAAATGTAAATAAAAATTACAATGAATGAATGATTTTATCAGCAGTGACGCAATATTTTCTACTTAAATATTTTCTGAACTATGGCATTGAATATTAATTCCAACATACGAAATAAGTAACTATTGTCAACTTAATAAGTAATTACTGCCAATATACAAAATAAGTAATTGTTGTCAACTTAGTGAAGGAAAAGTTTACATTTCCGCCAGAAAATCCGTTTTCTGGCGAATTCCGATTGAAAAATCTGTATTTGCATGTGTGTTTGTATTTGAGTCACAAATATGACCTTTCATCAAAGTTATCTCAAAAATAACTGCACAAATTTTAGTAAGTGGTAGTTAACATTTTCTGCAAGACCACCCGGCAAAGCCGATTCTTTAGAAATACCAGAAAAGTTACAGTTTTCATAAAATAAGCAAGTATTGTCTACGTTTTAGCACAAATTCTGAATCATTTCAAATAATTTTCATTTGGAACAATGGGTCGAGAGTCAAGTTTTCCAAATTTTATCATCACAAATTTAAAAGTTCATATATGCACATATCACATATGTTGGGAAGATATTGTAACTTATATCAAAATGCCACTTATAGCTAGTTTAACATTTTAACTCCAGAGTTACAACATTGTGGAAATAGGTATAAAATTTGACAAGTATAAATATTTTTATACAAAAGGACAATCCATATGGATATAAACATAATTCAAGCAAGTCATCAAAAATTTTATTAAATTTCGTTAATTGACATATTAAATATGTAATATCACCTCAATTTCAGTTATAAAAATAATAGCCAACTGTTATCATTCAGAAGTATTATTTTGTCCTTCTGACTCCTTTAAATCTTGTTCTTGACTTAAACGTTGTTCTGCAGCCCGTTCCCATGCATATTCAAATGGAAATACTAATGGTTTATTTTCCTCTGGTGCCGTTTGCGCCATCTCGACCTTATGGGCAGGAGTTCCCTTCATATGCAATCGTTCTAATATGGCGGTGTTATGAACAACGGAATCAAAAGAAGTTATATACGAGAATATTTCCTTATCAGATTTCACATCCGGTACGCCCTTTTTGCTGAAAAACTGAAATAAAGTTTCATAAGATAAAATGTACATATTTATATACTCAGATACATAGAGTCTTGAATTTGTAAATACATACATACTTAAATATATATATATATATATATATATATATATATATATATATATATGTATGTATACATGGTTTGTGCATTCTGGAGTTATTTCGTCAGGAAGGAAAACCCGACTTATTTTTATATATATGTAGATATATATATAATTTTTTTTCTTTGACATTTTTTTATATAATCTTGCATAATAATAAAGTAAAATGATATTAACAAACAAACATCAGGAAATAATCATGATTCAAAATTCTATCATCAAATTTTAAAATTTTCTAAATCATAATACTTATTCATTTTAACCATTATATACATATTAGAAAGTGTTTGCAACTTGCCTTAAGGCAAAAACTCACGTACACCTAGCTACTATATATTATATTACTTACAGAACTTATGTTTGCGCAATCTCTCATTAAAAACTCCAAAGCACTTGGATATTCTGGTCCGATTGATTGTGACACATCTATAAACCAACATTTATCTTTGTACCATAATATGTTATATTCAGAAAGATCAGCATGAATTAAGCGTGCCTGGTTGTACAATTTATGCATCATTTCGATGACTTCTTGATATGCTAAAATCCATTCCGCTGCTGATAAAATAGCGTCTTTTAGCTTAGGTGCTGGTGTATGATTTTCTCCAATAAATGACATTACTAGTATGTGTTTTTTCAAACCAATTACGTCAGGAACATTAATGCCCATATTCCGCATACGCATTAAATTATGCATTTCCTTCTCGGCCCATAAGTGTATGATTTTTCTAGGATTTTGATAAGAGAATCTATTTTTGAATCTATAATCATATTTGATGTATTTATCTCTTACTTTGAATTCATTCAAAGTTGTTTTAAATACTTTAAGGGCGCATTCTTTTGGAAGAACACACTCTGCATATGCAGGATCAGATTCAGCATGAAGAATTACAGCTTCTTTACCGGTTGATATAACGCCATTAACCTTCTGTAACAACTGATTATTGATCATTTTATAAAGTAAAAGACGGGTTTTGTGATCAACTCCCATCTCAGCAGTAGCGCAAGATTCTTTACGATCATGCATTTTCATCTTTTTATTTCTAGACTTCTCATGGTTGGAGTGTGCTCTCAAACTATTGAATACTTTATTTGATAATTGCATATCAAATCCACCCGCATCGCCTGTATGAATTTCAGGAGGAAACGCCATCACTTTGCAAGCGTTGCGACAACCCGACAGTTCCATATCATGTTTTGTTACTATTTTGCCTGTAAATAATGAAATTCTTATCACTATATAATACAAATTAATTCTTTCTGAAGAAAGAGTTTCAATGTAAAATTTTAATTAAAACAATTATTTAAAACGAGAAGGCCAGTAGTAAGATGACAGTCCCAAATTTAACAGTAAAAAAACAGTAAAATCTAAATATATATATATATATATATATATATATATATATATTAAGAATATAAGTAATATATAGAATTAATTATGCCTTTGCAATGCCACCTCCCATACTACTAAAAATATTAAAATACCTTCAATCATTTTATAACCGCATCTAGGAATTGCCGAGTATTCTTTTTCCATTACAGTAAATCGATCCCAATTCTTAGTATCATTATCAAACCATTGATTGTCATCGTCATCTGAATCTGAAGACAACAGCTCCTCTGGGACCTTTCTATGGTTTGCATATGATACACTAACTTTTGACAAACCATTTTTCTTATTTTCTATCCTCTTCAGCTCTTCATCGTGTTCCATATCAAACTGATACTGCAACATCTGAGCAATAACAGCATCACTATCACAAAACGGAGATACTTCTTGAGTATCATCTTTATTGTCATCGAGTATTAGTACATCAGAAAAGCTCGTTGATTCATTTTTGGTCACTGTGTCATCAAATTTGTGAGCAAACTTACAGTACTCTTTTGATTGTAATTCTTTTGCAAATTCTTCTGACATGATTTCTTGCAAACTCAAAGGCTCATGTACGAGTTTCACAGATGCCCATGGACAAGCCATTATAATT